GCCCACTGACTGAAAAAGATCGCTATTTGTTCCCATTCCAAAGAAAGGTGACCCACCAGAGTACGGAAATTATCAAACAATATCATTAACATCACATGCAAGCAAGATTCTGCTGAAAATTATCCAAAAACATTTGGAACACTATGTCAACAGAGAACTGCCAGATGTACAGGCTGGATTTAGAAGAGGTCATGGTACTAGGATATTATAGCTAATGTTAGATGATGGATCTTGGCCGAAAGCAAAGAATACCAGAAGAATGTCTATCTGTGCTTCATTTATGCAAAGGCTTTTGACTGTGTGGATCACAAGCTGTGGCTAATTCTGAGAAGAATGGGAATCCCAGGACATTTGATTGTGCTAATGCGAAACCTATACTTGGACCAAGAGGCAGTCATCAGAACAGAGCAAGGAAACACTACATGGTTCAAAAATCAAGAAGGGGGTTCATCAGGGATGTATTCTGTCTCCATACCTTTCAATCTGTATGCAGAACAGATCATCCGAGACGCTGGGCTGTATGAAGAGGAATGTGGCATCAGGATTGGTGGAAGAGTCATCAACAACCTGCGCTATGCAGATGACACACCCTACTTGCTAAAACTGAGGAGGACCTGAAGCGCTTGCTGCAGAAAGTCAAGGACTGCAGCCTCCTATATGGACTGAAGCGCAGCATCAAGAAAACAAAGATTCTCACCACTGGGCCAATTGGCAGCATCAGTATGGATGGTGAAGAGATTGAAATAGTTAACAGTTTTTGTTTACTTGGCTCCACAATCAACACTCTTGGTAACAGCAGCCAGGAAATCAAGAGATGAATCGCATTGGGAAAGTCAGCTGTGAGGGCCCTCTCAAGAGTACTGAAGAGCAACGATCTCAGGCTGGAGACTAAGATGCACCTGATCTGTACTATAGTCTTTGCAATTACGTGCTATGCATCAGAGAGTTGAAAAGTTAGTAGGGTTGATAGAAAGAGAATTGATGCCTTTGAGCTTTGGTGCTGGAGAAGAGTGTTGAATATACCATGGACTGCTAGGAGAACAAACAGGTTTGCCTGGAAAAGGTGAGGCTGGAATGCTTCTTGGAGTCAAGGATTCTGAAGCTTCGTCTGACATAGTTTGAGCATGTTGCAAGGAGGGACTGGTCCTTGGAGAGGGACATCATGTTTGGCAGAGTGGAGGGGCAGCAAAGGAGAGGAAGACCTTCAATGAGATGGATCAATTCTGAGACTGGAGCAGTGGGAATAAGTGCGTTTGAGACGGCTAGGTTGGCACAGGATAGAACAGAGTTTAGAGCTCTTGTACATAGGGTCGCTATGAGTCGCAAACGACTCGATGGCACATAACAACAACATATCGGGTTTTGTGGTGTTTATTTATATCGATCAACAGGATGTTACTAAAAGTCACCTGTTATTGCATGTAGCCATTGCTCATTTGCTTTCTTTGCTGTGTAATAATCATGTGACTATATACCACATTCTTTGTCTCTACTTTGGGACTTTAAGAGCATTTGTCTCTTGGATTCATTAATCTATAAAATGGGTGGAAAGAAATCTCATCTAACAAGATTGCTGTGACTTGTATGGAACTCTGAGCCCAGTGATTGGCACAGAGATTTTAAATCCTAGCCAACTCCTCTTTTTATTCTAGAAAGATATAGAGAAAAATGTCAATGGTCTAATGAGACAATTGCTCCAACACTCGTCGTCGGGACACATTTTACTTTCATTCTACTATTGTCTAATAGTCAGTCGCAAATGAGAGTGAGCTTTTATTTTCAAAGTATGTTTGCCAATATCTGATGGAAGCCAGAGACACTGATTAACATCTTAAAATACACAGGACAGTGTTCCACAGCAAAGAATGTATCCAGCCCAAATGATCAGCAGTGCTGAGGTTGAGAAGCCCAAGTGTACCTTTGCCTATTCTTGTAATTTCCCAAACTGTACCTTGAGAACAAGAAATAGACCTTCAATCTGTGAATTAAGCACAGGGGGTGTTTTCTTAGATTTTTTTTTTGTTATCCTTCCTTTTTTGATATTAGTTTATTTACAAAATTCAAATGCATTGTTTTTCACACCAGATATTTCCCATTTTACTCACATAGGAGGTGATTTCTTTGAAGATATTTTGTCTTTGGTGATTGCAGGAGGATATGCATAAAGCTTATATAAAGAATGGGAACAACTGTTCAGTTGGTACTCATCAGCAAGTATATTGCAATTCACAGCAGCCTCAGTGTGCAGAATAGAATGACTCCACTGGGTTTTCAAAACTATGACCCTTCAGTAGCATGTTTCCAGGCTTGTCTTCCAAGACCTCTCTGGTTGAATTGGACCCACCAACCCTTTGGCTAGCAACTTTCCCCTTAACAATGTATGCTACCAGGGACTCCTCAAAGGATTTAGGAGACTGTCAGAAAGGCTCTTCCACAAGAAACCCAGTTTACCTGAGCCTTTATTGTAAATATGATTCCTGATTTTATTTTTCATTCCATTGTGCGCACTAAAGTCAATGGCTTGCCAGCCAGTACATCTCCAATCTGTCTATATCCTTTCAATCAGTCATTCAAACCAAAAGGAGTCTCTAGACTCCAGTGCTGTTCATTACCGCCCAGTATACACACCAGACCCAGATATCGCTAAGTAGCCCTCATCATGAGCAGTTTGCCATTAACTAAAGTCTACCCAATCCTCTACTGGCACTTATGCTTAAGCATCACTAGTTAGTACTGAACTCACAGATGACATTTACTTATACGTGAATGTATAAATGTCCTAAAAGTCATGAGACATAAAAGATTCGCCTCCAGAATCACATTCCTCAGGAACTCTTCCATGCCCCCTATCCAGGCCCTGGTGAAATCATAGTGCCTTGTCTTATCTTTGCCCATGTGTGTGTGCACAGACACGTACTACCAGCCAAAAACTTTGGAACTACTCCTGAATTTCCAGGGAAGTCCCCTCTTTTTCCTTTTTTCCATCCATCTTTATCTTTCACCAGCCATACCTCCTTTATATTATTACCTTAATAAACCTTTTTCACTTGATATGCTAAATTGAAAAATAAAGAATTCCATCAGCATCTATTTGCTTATCAATCTTCCCATCAAAGTACCCCATTTTTTTTGTTAGAATCTTTTGGTGGTGGTGTTGTTTATGGGGTTTTTTGTTTGTTTTGTTTTTGTTTTATTTTTATTAATGATTTTTTTCATGAACATATTTTTACAACATATTCTTTCCATTTCTTTTTCCCTATTTATTCATTGTTTCACATTTTCTTCCCTGCCCACCCCTCACCCCCAGTTCATTTTTCTCTTTGAAGAAAAAAAAATCTTTCATTGTTATACAAACCCCGACAGTCCACAGTCTACTTTAATATGCATTTCTTTTTCTGTAATCTTATCATGAAAATAATACCTAATTATATATTCCTTTTAAATGGTTTTCTCCCTTATCTGTTTCATTGCAGTATACATTATTTATCCCCTCTTTTCTTAGGTTCCTCCCAACCCCGATGTCAGTCTTGTTTTACAATAGTGACATTATACAATATTTGTCCTTTTGTGACTGAGATATTTCACTCAGCATAATATCCTCCAGGGTCACCCATTTTATATAATATTTCATGAGTTCCTTGTTTTTCAATGCAGCATAGTATTCCATTTTGTGAATTTATCAGGCCTTTTCTATCCATTCATTTGTTGATGGGCACTTGGGTTGTTTCCAACTCTTTGCTATTGTGAACAAAGCCACAATATACATGGATGTGCATATATCTGCTTGGGTGGCAGTTCTGATTTCTTTAGGGTTTATTCCCAGTAATGGAATTGCTGGTCAAGTGGTATTTCTATAGCCAAGTTTTCAAGAAAGTGCCATACTGCCTTCCATTGTGGTTGCACCATTTTACACTCCTTTTATTTATTTATTTTTTTAAGAATGAATGCAAGTGATCAATGAATACAGACTTAACAGAGGTGGTTCTAAAGTTCCTGCTATCATCACCTTGGACAATATATGACCCACTTGGAAGGCAAATTCACTTAAAAGATCTCTGTCTTGTTCTATGACTAAAACGATACACTAATCAAGGGGGAACCCAGAATGATTCAACATTTTCTTTACTCCTGCCTTGAAATTTTGGTTTTCATTTTAACCCTGTGAGGATGCTTGATAAAGGCTTTGAAATATGCAGGAAGGGGAAAAAAATGGAAACTAACATGATTTGCATGTCTTGCCAGGAGTTAAGCTCAGCCTTTGTAGGGTGTTAAGGAAATACTCTTCTTGCTTTTTTTATGTGTGTGTGGAAGGGGGAGAATATCAGAGGGCATTTATAGTTCTACAGTTCTGGGGAGGGGGAGGTGACCTTCTTAAGAGCGGGCACTGAAATCTTTGTCTTTGTAGTTCTAGAGTCTAACACAGTCCCTAGCACCACATAGTTTTCTGATAAGGCTTATTGGATGGATGGATGGATGGATGGATGGATGGATGGATGGATGGATGGATGGATGGACGGACGGACAGAGCTACCCTCAAACATAAAGTAAGTTGGTTGATGAGATTATGGGGGGGGGGAACAGAAAGGCAATTCGAACAGCATATCACTTCAACTTAATCATGTTTATTCAACAGTTGAAGATCTTCATCCCATTTAAGAAGTCACCAAGGAGCTTGAGTGCACAAAGCAAGGGAGAGAACACACAGAGAGACAGGAAAGATTTTAGAGAAGAGATAGAGGTGATGCAGTGAGGCAACTCTTCTCAGCTTGATGGCAGCCGCAGACAGGAAGCCGAAATGTCCCTCCTCAGTGCCCAAGGGCCTTCATGAGAACACTGACATTTATATGAGCTCCTTGAAACATAAGCAGATGGCGAGAGGTGGTGCAGGGGGCAATAATGGGAAGGCAGTCAGATTTTCCCTCTAACTGACTTTGTTGACTTGTTGATGACTGGCTTGAGTTGATGACTTGCTTCCCAGAAATGGGTGAACTGGAGCCGGTTCAGGAATCAGCTGGTTTGCTGGCAGCAGGTTGGCCAGCAGCTGCAGACACACTGGCAATGGGACTGCGGGGTTTGGCAGCAGCGGTTGAACAGGGACTTGCCTCTGAGACGTTCTCCTTGCAGGGCGTAGAGTCGGCACAATCTGAGTGACTGGAAGTAGACTTCTTGCAATCCCGCTTGCAGAGGTCAGACTCAGCACAAGGTAAGCGGGAACAGACCGGGCGGTAAGAGACAGAAGTGAGGCAGGCAGGACGGCGCAGGATGGAGTAACAAGGGCGGTAGCAGCTGGGGCGATAGGAGATGGAGGTCACATATGGCTGCCTGTAGGACAAGGGACCTGAGCAGAATGGACGACTGATCGGACGGTAGGAAATGGAAGTGCTACAAGGCGGTTTGCAGGAGCTGGGTATGTAGAAAGTGGGCCGAGAGCAAGTTGGCCGGCAGATAGCAGATGCAGAAGACCCCGGGCGGCAGCAAAGCGGCTGGCAGGGGTTGGATGTACAGGAAACGGGCTCACAGCTGATGGACCGACAGCGTTTGACTAGGTAGCAGGTAGATTGGCAGGGGTTGGAAACGCAGACATTTTGTGAGCAAGGGTTGGACACACAGACATTTGGAGAACAGGAGCTGGGCACACAGACACTTTGGGAGCAGGGGCTGGACTCCGGGCAGATGGGTTGGCAGATGCTGGAGACACAACACGAGGGCTCTTGGCAGCTGCTGGAGACACACGATGGCTCACAAGGACTTGAAACACAGCACACAGGCCGGAGGCAAACGGGCTCACAGACCAGAGTCACACAGGCAGCTGGCTGGCAGATGCTGGCCTCTGAGCAGGAAGTCTCACAAGGACTGGAGTCACAGCAGATGGGCTGGCAGCTACTGGTCACCGAGCAGACAGATGGACAGCAACTGGGTGTTGGGCACACTGGCTGGCAGCACGCAGGCTCACAGACCATTGCTTGGCAGGCAGTTGGCACAGCACAGATAGCTGAGAAGCAGCTGGGCTCACAGACCATGGGCTGGCAGCAGCTGGGCTCACAGAGGATTGGCTGGCAGGAAGTGGGCATGCACAGGACTGATTGGCAGGAAGAGTCTTCACAGCACACAGGTTGACAGCAACTGCTGACGGAGCAAGAAGGTTCACAAGGCGTAGCTTCGCAGCACACAGGCTGGGCACAGGTACTTACGGAGCAGGAAGGCTCGCAAATGGTGGCCTCACAGCACACAGGCTGGGTGCAGGTACTCACGGGACAAGAGGGCTGACAGCACTGGGAGCCACAGCTGGAAGATCCGCAAGCGTCTTGACACGTCACCAGTTGCCACGTCTGGCTCTCGCAGGAACTGGGAAGGCAGATGGGCCTCACACAACTCACCTCCCGGGAACAGAGGGAGATGGCTGGCACAGAGGGGCATTTCCTGGAATAGCAGGTGCCAGACATGGTGGAGGTTCTTCTGCTTCCGAGTGAGTGCTGAAGGGGAGCTGCCCAGCTGTGACTGTCCTCCGAGGCCGTCTCACCTTTATACCCCCTCACTGGCGTGTTCTGTGTGGGGATCCAGCATCTCTTCCTCATTGCTGTTTGGGCCAGTTTGTAGAGCAACACCTTATTAGACCAGGCTTTGTTGATCTGGATGTCGTTTGCCTCCCCATAAAGAAGCTGTTTGTTTACTAACTTGCTAAATTTGGAATCCCAGAGCTGCAGTTAGTTGTAAGCACCATCACCTTCAAGCCGGGTGACCTGCGTTTCCGAGCATCATGAATGGAGGAAGAAGAAAGAAGCTTATAATTTATCCACTTCTGGTCCTCTGCACTGGGCCCTGGGCTGGACATAGGGGATGTCCATATGGTTAAGAACTTACTCATCCATTATTGTGAATCTATGATTTAGCAGGCAGATCCATTACAGTTCAATGACAAACTCTACGACAGATGAACAAGAGATGGTACAAACATATGTGAGGAGTTGTTTCAGGGAGGTGGTGCGTATTTTGTGTATTGTCTTACAACAATGATCTTATTAAAACAGACAGTCATCCATGTGGCAGAAGTTCTTTCCCCTTCGTCCAGGTGAAGAGATAGATGGGAAGTGCGGAATGTCCGTAGTGTTTAAGTCATCCACTGAATAGCACACACAGCCTGCTCCCACCCTGGCCTAGGCTTGCTCTCCTTCCACTCGTCAGCTTATGTGGGCCACCATGTCTCAGAGGCCTTTATTAAAGCCACACACCATAGATTCAAGCCCATCATATTGTCCTCCATCCTTCATTGTGAGCTGCCCCACTCTAGAGCATTGTCTTTACCTGCCCCTGTTGTCGTTGTATACCGTCAAGTCAGAACCGACTCATAGCTGACCCTCTCGTGGGTTTTCAGAGGCAGCAAATCACATGGCAGCTAATGCCCATCTTTCTCTTGCAGAGAAGCTGGTGGGTTTTAATTGTGTACCTTTGTGTTGGCAGTGCAATTTCATCTTGCTTGGATCCGCCATCCACACCCTTGGTACCAGCAGTCAGGAGATCAGGAGATGTATTACTCTGGGCAAGTCTGCTGTTAGAGATGTCTCCAAAGTACTGAAGAGCAATGATATCAGTTTGAAGACTAAGGTGTGCCTGATTCAGGCCGTGGCCCTTTCCACTATTTGCTATGCTTCTGAGAGCTGTACAATGAATAAGGATGACAGAAGAGTTGTGGTGTTGGGGAAGAGTACTAAATATCCCATAGACTATCAAAAGAACAAACAGATCTGCATTGGAAAAGGTGCAGCCAGAGTGCTCTTTGGAGGCAGAAATCACAAAGCTTTGTCCCTCATACTTTGGACACATTGCCAGAAGAGGCTATTCCTTGGAAAAGGATCTCATGCTTAAAAGCATGGAGGGTCAGTGAAAGACAGGAAGACCCCATCGAGACAGATTGATAGTAAGTGCAGCAATGGGCTTAAGTATATCAGAGATCATTAGGGTGGCACAGGATAGGATGAGATTCAAACCTGTTGTTCATAGGGTTACTTTTGAGTCGTACTTGACTCAATGGCACCTAACAGCAAGCCACAAAGGTCCTTCTGCCTCCCCCTGGGAAACACTTAATCCAGCTCTCTGCTTCTCCTCTTTAGTCTTCCCCCAACCCACCCCAAGCATTCAATGACCTTCAAGAAGCCTTCTTGCCATTGAGAATTTTAACAACTTCTAAAAAAAAAGATGTCTGTCAATAATCCAAAAGGTGAAGAAAGATAAGAAACTAGAGAGTGGTCTCCCAAGTTCAACTTTCTTTTAAATTTTTATTTTATACTGGTTTGCTTACAAAGTTTGTATACATTGTGTTTCACACTATTCTTCATTCACATTGTATTTCATACAATCATTCCTATTCATTATGTTTTATAAAATTAATCACCATTGAACTATGCCCACCATCAACCTATCTTTTTCAGGTCCCTACCGGATCTCTCCCATTTCCTATACCCACTCCCTCCACCCACCAACTTGTGCAACTTTGTGATTTCACCCCTGTGCTTCCCTATCTTCCAACCTGTTTTACTAGTTATCTTCCTATTTTTACAATAATGGTCTTATGCAGTATCCAAGTTTATCTTTTAAAGAAATTGTGACAAAGAAAGTTATCTCCACTATTGCTTGAAACAGAAGTGTGATGAGAAAACAACATGAGACATTGCTTCTAAACTCCAACACCAGACATCCTCCCTCAGAGAAGAGTGACTGCCATGTCTCCACCAAGTGCTCTCAGCTTCAAAGGAAAAATCAGACTCTCTCTTGGAGAGTTCATCCATTTATCCCCTTCTCTCATTCATCTATTTTTCCCTCTGTCATTTGTCATTCCTTAATTTATAGAGCTGCTAACTCAGTCAATTTCTCCTTTACTCACTCACCATTGAGGTATATGTAATGGGATAAAAAATAACGAGTGGGAGTTCCTGTCATAAAGAAACCACAGTTTAGAAGACGCATCCATAGCAATCATAACGCTGGGTTCGGGGGGGGGTCATGCAGGAGAAACACTGGCATGGAAAATTGGAAAATATTCTCAAATGTACAATGACAAATTTGAATATATAAGGGAAAAGGATAAAAAGCCATCAGTTGTGTAAACTAAAGGCATGTGAATAGAGCATCTTCAAGGAGCAAAAGATATTTCAATTTGTTGGTGTCTTATTAGGTATCAGTGAGCAGAGTGACTCATACTGACCCTATGCACAACAGATGGGAGCCTTGCCCTTTCTTGGGGCCAACCTCACAATCTCCTCTGTGTTTAAGCCCATTGTTTTCAATTACTGTGTCAATTCATGTCCTTGAGGTTCTTCCTCTCCTTCTCTGACCTTTCAGCTGCCCAGTCGTGACATCTCTTGATAACTCCTCCTGATAACATGTCTAACACAAGTGAGATTAAGTTTCATTATTCTTCACTTCAAGCAGCACTCTCTTTCTCCCTCTCTGGTAATATAGTGTATGTTGCTTTCACTAACCAAAAGGCTGATAGTCCAAATCCACCAGCAATTCCGTAAGAGAAAGATGGGCAGTCTCTCTTCATTAAGAATTACAGCCTTGGAAACCCAATAAAGGGTCACCAAGAATTAGATGCCAGTGGGTTTTGTTTTGATTCAATATAGTCAGGATGAAGTTGAAGGGGATAGTGGAGAGTCAGAAGGGTTATTGAGCACTCATGAAAGATCTGGTGACGCGTCATAAAAAGTTTTGTGCTGAAAACTGGGTTTTAATCAGAAAAATAACTTAATTAGGTTTGTATTTTGGAAAGTTCACTCTGGCTATTCTGTGGGGAAGAGATTGGAGCGGCTTGGACAAGAAATTGGAGAAGAGATTGAACAAGTTTGAAGGCAGAGGGGCCATAGAGATCTGGACTAATAGCCCAAAAGCTTCATGGTGACAACTTGAATGGACCAGTGCCTGGGACTACAGCAATGTAATGGAGTGTTAAACGGGTAGACTCTACAGGAGTCAGTGGTTAAAAGTAAAATCCTTTGAGATGTAACAATGGAGAGGTCTTTTGACAGTTCTACTTGTAAAGATAAAACAGAAGTGGTGTCTCTAAGATAGAGTCTGAGATTGAAACATGGCAGAGTCAAACCTCAAATTCTTGGCAAAAGTAAGATACTACTACTGCTAGGCTTTAAGAAAGAGACTGCAAATGAAAAAAATTAAGTGACCCCTACACGCTTGCTAGAAAGGCTAAAACAAGCAACACTGTCAATATCAAATGTTATAAAGGACTTAGAGAACAATAATTCAGATATTGCTGGTAGAAATACAAAATGTCACACATTTTTTTTTAAAAATGTCAGGTAGTTTCTTACAAAGCTAAACTAACACAGTTAAATATTCATTTGCTGTCTGTTGTATGTTCACACAATAATCTGTATAGGAATGTGTACAGAAAATGTATTCATAATAGGTCAAAACTGGGGACAGTCCAAATGATCATCAGTAGGTAATGTATTTTTTTGAAGTTTGTTTATCCATTTAATGGAACACTACTAATAAAAAGGGACAAACTGCCAAAGTATGGCTAAATATAAAAATAATTTTCAGATGTGAAAAGGAATTCATGCTCTTATGATTTTATTAATATGGCATTCTATAAATGGCAAAATGTACAGTGAGTTAATTCAAGTTGATGGTTTCTCGGCGTCATGAATAGAGGATAGGGTTACAAAGGGGGACTTGGGGAATTTTGAGATTATCGAAATATGCTATATTTCAATTGCAGTGGGTGTCACACAAATACATACAATCATCAGATCTTATCACACTGTTTATGAAATTATTTTTTATTATTTTTATGTTTATTTTATTATTATGATATATTTTATTTACAAAATTAAAATACATTGTTTTTCAGACCAAATTCTTCCAATTTCCTTCACACACACACCCCCCCAAACAACAAATTGTACAATCCCATGATTAATTCCCCCCTCCCCAGCACATCCTCGTCCCTCTGCTTCCACTCTCTCCCCACCCTTGGATCTTTATACTTGTTCTACAGTAATGGTTTTATGCAATATTTGTCCTTGTGGGACTGAGTTAGTTCACTCAGCATGTTGTTGTTGTTGATTTCCTTCAAATCAAACATGACTCATAGTGACCATAGGAACAAAAGGCCTGAAGCTCCTCTACAACTATCGACATTTATCAAAGTTCATCTGTTTCTGGAGGTCGGTTGTTTAGGAAGTGGATGCCAAACCTGTCATAGTATGTTATTGTTGTTATGTGCCGTTCATTCAGCACAGTGAGGAACATTTTTTTTCATTTTTTTTAATTTCTTTTTTTATTATTATTAAATTTTATTCGTTTTAATGAACATTTACAGAGATTTTGGGTTTTCATTCATTCATTGTTGCACTGTTTTCTCCACCCTCCTCCCCAGTTCATTCTTCTCCCCACCCCCCACGTCTGTTTTAATTGTCTAATTGCC